ATCACGAAAAATTATGTCAGGGAACCAAAATAAAGTCAATATTGACAATGTATTCAGATAAAATATAGTGTTAAACATGATAAATGATAACGAGGATCATAGATCAAAGTCTATTAAAGATTATAGACAAAGTGAGAATTGGCTAAAATAAATATATTCAATTGAAGAAGAATTAAACTCACTTTACAAGTGACTCGATGTTGGACCTGTAGTCCAAACACCTCAAGGTGTGAAACCAATGGGATATAAATGAGTTTTGTGAAAAAGAAAAATAAGAATTGTATAAAATATGATTTTTTGCTCAATGATTTTCGCAAAGACCTAAGATTGATTTATATGAAACATATCCACATGTAGTGGATTTAATTAATTTTTCAATATTTGATTAGCCTTGTAGCGCATGAAGGGCTTAATATGAACATCATGGATGTTGTGACATCTTATTTATACGGTTCATTTGATAGTGACATTTACATGAAACTCCCTAAAAAGTTTAATATATCAGCAACACATAACTTTAGATATGGACAAAGCTACTTCATAAAATTGAACAAGTCTCTTTATGAGCTAAAATAATATGGACATGTGATATAACTGTCTTAGTAAAGATTTTCTATGGGAGAGATATACAAATAAATCCAAATGTCATTGTATTTTTATGAAAATATTTGAAATTTTTTTTTATATAATAGATATTCATGTGGATGATATAAATATTATTGGAACTCCTGAAGAGTTTCTAAAAGCTATAAATTGTTTAAATAAATGGTTTGATGTGAAGGCCTTGGAAAAGACAAAGTTCTTACAAGGTCAATATTTAGACAATAGAATTTGCATACACCAAGAATGTTATATAAAAAAGAGTTAAAATGTATTCTACTTTTATGATGGTAGATAATTGGATGTGTAAAAGATCCTTTTAGACCTTGAGAAGAGGATGAAAAATTAATTGGTCCTGAAGTACCAAATCTTGGTGTAATTCAAGCACTAATTTATGTTGCTAATTATACGCACCATGATGTATCAAGTAATATTACTCTATTAATAAGATATAGTTCTTCGACTACACGAAGGCATTTGAACGAAGTCAAAATATACTTCGTTATTTTAGTGGTAAATGGACATGAGTTTGTTTTATTCGTATCCAAATTAGAACTAACAGGTTATGCAGAAACATAATACTTTCCAGATTCTCATAATGGTAGATCACACAAATTATTTGTTTACTTATGGTGTTACAATTATTTCATGGAGACCAGTTAATCAAACCATAACAACAACTTTGTCTAATAATGAAGAAATTTTTAGCACTACATGAGGCAAGTCGAGAATGCGCTTGATTGAGATCTCAAATTCAACACACACAAAAGACTTGTGATTTGAATTCTAGAAAGAAATACAACAATCATATATGAAGATAATACTGCATGAATTGCTCAACTGAAAGATGGTTACATTAAAGGAGATCGAACAAAAGACATTTCTCCAAAGTTCTTTTTCACTCATGATCTTCAGCAAAGTGGTGATTTAAGCTCCAACAAACTTGTTCATCTCACATTCCTTTTTGTGCAAAAGATTGGTCTTCATCTTCGAAGAAATGATCGTTGAGATGAGGAGGAGAAGTGAATTCGTTCAACTAAGGGGGAGAAATGAATTTTTCTTAAAAGGATATTGTACTCTTTTTTCTTCACTAGATTTTTCCACTGGATTTTTACTAGTATGATTTTAACGAGGCTTATCCTGAAAAAACATCCAAGGGAGACTATTGAATAATGGATGATTGTCTCCTTATAATTTTCTTTCTTATTTGTAATAATTTGTATTGATTAGTAACGAGGTGGTTCCCTCATAAAGAATTTTGTACTTTTTTTCCTTCACTAGAATTTTTCCCACTGGGTTTTTTCTAGTAAGATTTTAACGAGACATTTTCTTTATGGACATCCAAGGTGGCATGATTTTGGATGTCCATCCATTAGGAGATTTCAATTTTTTTTTCTATTTATTACATATGTCCTATAAATATAACTCATATTGTACTTAAAATCGACACTGATAATGAGAATAATACAATCATATTTCCATTGTTCTGATTCTTTACTTCGTATCTACTCTTCTATTATATTGATTCTTATTGATTTCATAACATAGTCCACAACTGACTTAAAAAAGAATGACAGGCATTAGGCTTACTTTAGATAGAAAAAGATTCTGAATACTACTATCCATCAATTTCTAACACATATGTAGTAACTTTGATAATAGTGTAACAACCACGATTTTCAACCAATAGTCATGTGTTGCAACTGGTTTTAAATACAGATTCGTCACCCTTAATTTTTATCCTATGGAAGAGAATATAAATGAATAATCCTAAAAGTTAGAGATTCTAAGTCGTTGACTCGGTTCTAGACGAAGGAAAGATGTTAGGCACCCCTCATCTACCTTCCTCACAAGGATACTAGGTTTAGAAGTGCGGTTTTTAGGAAATAGGATTTTAATGTTTTATTAGGGGAAACATGGTTTTAATTTTAATTAGGGGGAATCACCACAATTTTCATCGTATGCCTACGTATCCTCTTAGGAGAAATCAGAGTCTCAATTCGTAGTTCGCGGTTGGTTTGTGTTTTTTATGGAATACGAAAAATATTTGAATTTCCCGTGTGCTTAGCCTAGGTGTGTGAATAACAGAGATTTTCGACAAAGCGCACAGTCGATTTAAATATTATTGTAATCCTTTTTGAAGATTGTTTATTGAATTAATTTGATTTATGAAAATAATTTGTTGTTGGTTAAGTTTTTTTTTTATGTATTAACTATAAAAAATGATCTTATTTATGCATGCTTAAAATAATTTAATTTAATGCAATAAATAGGAAATATTTGAATGAGTTTATAAAAAATATTATATGATTTATAATAATAATATATTAATATTATAAATATATAAAAATTGAAAAAATAAAAATAATAAAAAGAAATAATAAAGAAAATAAATTAAAAATGCAGGGGGGTGAATTTGGTTAAGGTAGTAAAATAGGAGGGTGTAAATAGCATGGGCCAAAATCCAGATATTTCATTTGGTCCAACAGCACATGGGGTATCAATTTTAGTTTAGAACTAAAAAATGGGAGTGTGAACGGTAGGGGGCCTAAGTCCAGATTTTGGACTGGGCCCATTAGGCTAAGGGAGGTGTTTTTTGCATGCGTAATTAAAAAATATAACATGAGGCGGGTGTGAATAGTTAATGGCCCAGGCCCAGGATGGTTTAGGGAGTCCATTTGGACTCCGTGTGGGAAGGCACATGGTGATATCATGGACGCGCGTGTTGGTACCACGTGATGGTGATCAGTTGAATATGGATGAAGGTGCGTGATAATAGTCATGAGGTGACAAGCACACGATTCTTCTACATAATATAATTTGTTTTAACTTCATTTTCTTTTCATTTTCATTTTTTCCCTCTCTCTTCCCGTCTCTCTTTGCTCTGTTTTTTTTCTCTTTTCTAACAACACAAAACCCTAGCCCAAAAATCGATCCCGACGGCGGTCTTATCCAACCCAAAAATTAAACCCAGCTACATCCATTGCAAAGAAAAAAAACACATAAGATAAGCTAAGTGGTTTCATTACCTCGTCACCTTCGATCATGATCTGTCTTTATTCTGCTGAGCAAATGTCTCGTTAATCTCCTTTGTTTGTTTTACAGGTCTCACGAGCGGCGGTTGCGGCAGATGAAATATGACGACGACGGCGGTGGCGATTGAAGGGATCTTAGGGTTTCATATGTTGAAATCCTAGATCTAGGATGAAGCGGCAGGAGACTTACGGTGGCGATATTGGATCTTGTTTCTGTAATAAACTTTTTCTTTTGTAGAATTTCTCTCGTCATGTACTATTCTTTAGTTTTAGGTTTTATAGTTAGAGAAAATAGGTGTTTTAGGAAATAGAGATTAGGAAACAAATTAACGTGTCTGTAATATTAGAACAATTTAAAATTTGTATTGATTAAGAACCTAATTTCGTCTTTAATCTCTGTTTTGACTTTTATTATACAATTTAATTTGTTTCTGTTTCTGTTTTCGTTTTGATTTGTTTCTTGTATTCATACTCTTGATTTGCAATAAACGATCTAGGATTTGGTTCTGTTTTTTTCCTTTTTGATCTGCACAAGTGTTAGTTTCTGTTTTTTGAACATGTTTCTTTGTTTTGGCCCGTATGCGCTTTCTTTGATTTGGGCCCTGAAAGGGTTTGGAAATGGACAATGGAAGAGAAACCTTTGCATTAACACTTTTCTTTTAGTTAAATGTATTCTAATTTAAGGAAATAAATTATTTAATTAATAAGAAAAGTAATAACAATAATTTTAATAACAAAACAATCCTTCAAACAAATTAAAAGGATGAACATACCTTTATTGGATTTTGAATGAAAAAACAGATTTCCTTATTCAAAAAATTAAATGGGTCCTATTATTTTATTGGACTTCTTAAAAAAAACTAATTTGCTTTATGGATCCCCTCTTTTAATACTTAAAATGGATTAAAAAAAATAAAAATATGGGCCCTTTCTAATTTAGAAAGGCCCATGATTTTTCAAAATAGTGTACTCCCATTATAAAAATGCACCCTCTCTCAAAATGAACGAAACCTTAATGGGCCATCAGATATTGATGGTCCATTCTAAATTAGTACACCTCTCTTCCATGTTTTACACCCCATAGAAATAAAATCTATATAATATAATTTATTTAAATAGAACTTACATAATATAATATAAAAATATGACAAATTTAAGATATGACATCATGCTTTAAGTAACTTTAAACATAATTGGATGAAAATGAATAATGGAATAAATATTTTATGACAAAAAAAAAACTTAATAAACTAACTTATTAATTACAAACACATAAGTTAAAGGTCCCCTTATGTATTTGGACTTGATTAAAAGTAAATATGCTTTTGTATATATCACCTCCATGAACAATTTCTTTTGGACATTCTATTCAGTTAATTTCATGCTGAAATTCCATAGTTTCTTTGCCAAATCATTGTCTTTACCCTGAAAGCTTGGTTCAACCACATTATTATCAGAAAAATATTTTCCACTAATTCCCTCCACTTTAGGGTTCAATGCTACATAGCATGTTGTTGCTGCTCCCTACAAGAAGATAATCAACGCATTTCAAAAAAAGAAGAGAATCAATGTCCAATGATATTGAATAGATCAAACTGTGTTGAATTGAAATACCTGTTGGACATTCTTAATTACAAATTCCCCAAGCACATCTAGTAGACCTGTATTATTCAGAAAAAAAACATAACAATATAACTTGGCAACTTTCATAATCTGAAATACATGCAACTTTTTAAACACCTAGAACTAAGGAATGGTAAAATGTAATAGTATTTACCTTTTGGGATAGTTTGACCAACCTCTTGACTTACAATGTTGGTGAAAATAGCTCCTGGATGAAGGGAATTTGCAGTAATATTAACCCCATCTTCCTGATCCAGATGTGTATATATATATATATATATATATATATATATATATATATATATATATATATATATATATATATATATATATATATATATATATATATATATATATAAGAATTTTAATCACAAATAAAAGAAAAGAAAGTATTTGTTAATGTTTCACCAATAAATGTTAGAAATGGTATACCTTGAGATGTCTTGCAAGTTCATTTGCATGTAAAACATTAGCAAGTTTAGATTGGCCATATGCTTTCCATCTTTGGTAACTATACACAAGTAAGCCAAAATCATGAAATTCTTGAAGGCCTCAAAGGCGGGTTACTACTCAATATCCAAAAATTGTTACACTAAAACTGTGGTAATAGGACCTTATAAATTTTTATCACAATTAGATTATGGTTAAATAGAATTTCTATTTGTTTTGTCATAGTTGAATTTTGACTAACCTACACAGAGTCTTTTAAAGAATTAAGATGACTCGGACACTACCATGACCGTCTTACAGGGCGTGTAAGGACTACTGTCCAGACTCAAAATTTGTAATGGTAAAACCGCTAAATAGGGTCTCATAAAATATTATCACATTTACATCATAGTTATATAAGGCTTCAATTTATTTTGCCATGGTTAAGCTTCGGTTAATCTATACAGGACCTCGAAATACTTGAGACACCTCAGAGACTACCAATAATATCTTTTAGGATGTGCAAGAAATTACTTCACATGATCCAAAAATTGTCACAGTAAAATCAAGATTAAATAAAACCTCATAAAATATTATCATAATTAGATCGTGGTTAAATAGGACATTTATTTATTTTGCCATAGTTAAATTTCAACTAAACTACACAAGGTCTCCGACTGATAAAAGACTACTATCTTGTATCTAGACAATAATGTAGTTGGACTTGCATCTTACCTTGATTCATCATTAATTTTATCAAAAATAATTCCTTCAGGATATGTATAACTGTGACCCTCAGATGACACATTAACAATTCTTCCTTCTTTATTGCTTTCACTTGATGTTTTCTTCATAGTGTCTAACAAAAGATTTGTCAAAAGAAAATGACCTGTGGAACAAATGATAAATATAAATAAATAAATAAATATTGTTTTTACTCAAATGATTTCATGTTGGCAAATATGAAGCATTTCTTACATACCTAAATAATTTGTAGCAAATTGTAGTTCAATGTTATCTTTCGACAATGTGAAAACAGGTGCACAAATTCCTGCATTGTTTCTTAGAATCACAAAAAATAACCAGAAAAATATTACTACTCGTGTATTTCCTTCAATACTCATAATTAAGAATAGTGCATGCAGTACTACATTTCTTACATGAGAATGTTCAATGGAAGAGCTGAGGAATTGAAGTCTGATGCAAATTTTCTAACAGATGCCATTGAACTGAGATCTAACTCCATAACATCAATTTTAGCTGTTGGAATCTCCTTGAGTATTTCTTCTCTGATATTTTTTCCAGCAATAAGGTTTCTTACTCCCATAATCACATGAACACCACGCAAGGCAAGAACACGTGCAGTTTCAGTGCCAATACCATTGGTTGTTCCTGTAAAAAAATATGCCATTGACAAAAATATTTGGTACTACGCAAATTGTATAAATAGAAGAATTTCAAAAATTATCTTTGTAAATATTAATTTAATATGTTTTGTTTGCTAAAAGTAGTAAATTTTATGTTTACAAGAATCTTTTTACTGAAACGGCTAGAGAGCATGCATGATATTGGACACCAGTTTCTTATCCTAAAGTTTTGTAAGAGTTTTTAAATCTTCTAAGTGTTGATGTGAATGATATGGAGGTTAGGCAGGTGGTCTTGATATGGGACCTTGGAAATCACCTGGACCAGATGGATATTCTGTTGGTTTTTATCAAAAAACTTGGGAAGTCATTGGATCGAATACTTGTAATTTTGTTAAGAAATTGTGGGCTAATTTGGATGCACTTGTAGAGATTGATCAAACATATATTTACTTAATTCTTAAGGTATCGCATTCCCCAAGTTTATGAATCAGTTCCATTCCATTTCTGTTTCAATAATTTGTATAAAATTATTAGTAAAGTAGTTGTAAATAGGTTGAAGTATTTATGATAATTGTATGAAATTTGTCTAAAATTTGTATAAAATTTATCTCTCTTTTTCTAATGGACTTTGGGTCGGAGAGAAGTATTCATGATAATATTGTGATGACACAAAAAATGGCTCATAGCATGCATAAGATGAAAGGGAAGATGGAGGTATTTTGTGATTAATGCTGATTTAACTAAAACATGTGATATATGGTCTTTCATTAAAAATATTTTGAAGGAGGTGGGATTTCCTTTAGAGCTAATCATTATTATTTGATCTCTACTACAATTGTGACCACTGATGTGAAATAGAATGGAACTAGATTATAATTTTTCAAACCTCATAGAGGTATCGTATAAGGGGACCCTATGTATTCGTACCTCATTGTTGTTTGTATGGATAAATTGCCTTCTCTTATATCTTATAGTGTGGAGCAAGGCTTTTGGAAAACTATGAAGGCGAGAATAGATGGTGCTCTCATATCTCTGTCTGCAAATAATCTTTTATTATTTGGTCAAGCTACAGAGGTTAAAATGTATTGTGTGCTTGATATTGTTAATCAATTCTGCTTTTTGTTGGGTCATCGAGTGATATTGATAGAACAAGCATTTTTCCCTTAAAAACACTTATGTGTCTGTTCATCGTAAATTGGATGCTATGTCTGGCTTTCATGAAACACAATCGCTTGAAAAACATTTGAGCATCAATTTTCTTGGTAAAGCAACTAAAAGATCTAATTTTAATTATATTTTGAAGCAAGTTAAGTCGAAGTTTGCCTCTTGGAAAGATCTACACCTTTCTTTTGCAAGTCGGATAACTCTCTCTAAAGCTATTACTGAAGTTGTTGAAGTATGACTTAAAATCTTTGTTGATGAAGAGAAAGAAAACATGTTTAGAGTTTTCCAAAAATCAGGAAGTCCGAGAGCATAAAAAATGTTTGATTAGGGCGGTTCACGAATATCGGGTTTGGTTGGTTTGGTTTGCAAGTGAGCATCATGGCTAAATGAGAGATCACAAAAATTTTCAGAGACAACAATTTTGGGTTGTGGAAAGTGAAGATGCAAGAAATTTTAACTCAAGAGAAGTGTATTGAAGCATTGAAGGGTGAATCATTTATACCTGCATGCCTTAGTAAAGTAGAGAAGACCGAGATGATGGATATGACTAGAAGTGCTATTATCTTGTGCCTTTGCGATAAAGTTCTAAGAGAAGTCACCATAGGACAAATTGTTGCTTTGATGTGAGCAAAAATTAAATCATTATTTATGACCAAGTCTTTGCCTCACGGGTTGTGTCTCAAACAACAACTCTATTCATTCCAAGTGGTGGAGAACAAATCCATAATGGAGAAACTTACAGAGTTTCACAAGATTATTGATGATCTTGAGAATATTGAAGTGAAGATTGATGATGAGGATAATACTTTACTCTTGTTGAGTTTATTATTTAGATCCTTTTAGAACTTTAAAAATGCCTTTATTTATGGTAAGAAAGGTACTATCACTTTGGATGAAGTCCAAACAACTGTAAAATTCAAAGAATTTTAAAAAATAAAGTATTTAAAGATTGAAGATCGTGGTGAAGTTTTGAGTGTCTCAAGAGGAGGAACTGATCATAAAGGGATGTTCAAATCAAAGAAGTTTGACAAGTCAAAGGTAAAATATTTTAATTGTCATAAAATCGGTCACTTCAAGAAGGATTGTCCTAAGAGAAAGGTTAATGAGGATTTGTTCAAGTTGTGGTTCCCTTAGTGAAGATGGTTATTGAAATTCTGACACTTTAAAACAGATGTCAAGACTAATGTTCCAACACCAAAACACAATATCAAGACAGATGTTAAGACATCATCTGCTAACAGAAAAACTTTTACCAAAACAATAATTATGCCAAAGTCAATTGTAGAAGATAAAAGACACAATCAATTGTTAACTCAATTTTGTTCAACTCACCTACTCTAGGGGCATCTAAGTCAGGAAGAAAATCCACTATGGTAGTAATAGTTCAAAGTTAAATAACCCTAGTTTACAGTTTATCTCCTAATCACTATCTTGTGCTATTTCTACCTAGAAACCTTCTAGATATGAGATTCTCCTCTCACTTCTCACAATCACCTCAATGAAAAATACCAAAAATAGAAGAACACACTTCCAATTATAATACTTAATTTTTCTTAAAAGCTTTTAACTAAAATAATAACTTGACACACAATATACTCTTTTCTTAAAAGCTCACGAGTGATTGGCAAGTAACAATGAACAATCAGTCTACCTCAATTTATTAGAAGATACATGAGTGACATACAAAAACAACAAAGTATCTAAAGTACTCTCAAAACCCTAAACCCTTATTTCAACCGCACACAGTTTCTTGATGTGAATTCTTACTAATTTTACGTTTAGAAGGTGCTTATATATAGACTCTTGCAGTATGGGCTTTGACTCTTCAACCAAATCCAATCTTTCAATTGTAAATCAACTGCAAGATTTTCTCCACAAAAATCGGAACAAATCTTCAAAGTTTCCTATAATGTCTCGAATATCCTTTTTACGAAACCAAATCAAATCTACATTGTTCCTAATAAAATATTCTCGACCTGCGAAAATAAGTGAAATATATCCAAGAGAATCTCACAAAAACAAATCAACTTTGTCAAGAAAATAACAACATCATTTGCTGTATAGTTGGCCAAGATGTCAAGACATCTGGCTCAACATCTGTTTGAGATTTATGACAGCAGAACCTGTCATGACAGTTGGTCAATATATCATGAAATCTTGCCCAACATCAGGTTGTGATACATGTTTTTCCAAATGAAACATATTTTACCAAAATTATTGTCAATCATAAGATCACAGACCTAACAATCTCCCCTTTGGTAAATTTTGACTAAAACAACCTTAACACAATCAAACTGGAGAAGAGGAATAAAACCACAAAGAACAATACACAAGCTACATGAAAAGCATGTAAATTTTATACAAACTACAAATAGAAAATATTAAAGATGAATGCAACTACAGAGAGACTCAGCCTCACACACAACTGTTTTTCAAACTCCAAAAGTCAGATGTCAGGATATGTGGTATGACATCACATTAATACACCCCAACTACCTCAACACAAGATAACAAGCTCAAGACCATAGCACAATGCTTAACTACTTCAGAAAAGTCCATTACTTCATGTGTCACACACAATCAATACCCCTCCCCCTCAATGGAACATCTAAACAAACTAATGAACTATATGAGTTCATACATCAGAGGCACATGTATCAGAAGATAAATAAGCCTCATAAATAAAAAATAGTTGCACAGAGTTTTCCACAAAATACTTTAGACAAGATGTCAGGACATCTGGTATGGCACCATGCACACATAGACACATCAGCAGTAGTAGCAAAAGAAAATATCCTCATACACCAACAATAAGCATGAAAGACAATCGTGCTCCCCATAAACAATTGCATACATAGCAAGAAACAATAAAGACTACTCTTCCTAAGAAGTAGTACAATCCTATCACAATTTTAATCAACATGTTAAAACATTTGACATGACATCAACATCATGACAAACAACCTTTCAAAAAAATACTTACTAACACTTTATTTCCTCTTTTTTAGCCAAAAATTAACAAAAGTAGAGTAAATGTAAAAGAATTGGAAGCACGCAGAAGAAAACAAGCATAAACAGCTGATGGAAATACACAAAAAATAGTTGGAAACAAACACTTATTGATGGAAATATACACAACTATCAATTGGTCTTCAGGTGATCTTCCACCTCTTACACTATTCAAAGACCCTTCTGCACTCCATCATGATGTCACATGTTTTAGAAGTATTGACATTGAACTTCCTTGCTACCACCTTAGAATATGTCTCATTCAAACTAATCTTTTGTGTTTGTAAAGATCTTTTGTTCCATCCTTTGGCATGTTTACCACTAGCAATTAACTTAGGCATATCATGCCTTAGAATGTAGAGGAAAGGCAGAGTATTTGCCACATTCCTCCATACTTATAATTGATATGATTCCTCAATGGTACATGTTCCTAGCTTACTCCTCATATTCTCAAATTGATTTGGATATAATCCTTTGATAAGTATAATAGTCAGTTGTTTTTCAGAGTCCACATGCACCGGAGTAACAACCTTGTCATCAACTAGATTCTTGATACGAGAATTATGACTGTCAAAATTCTTATTCCAGCTATGTTGAATGAGATATTTGAAAGAACTTAGATCTGCACAATGTAATGACAAAACATCCTATTTGACATCATACTTATTCAACATCTGCTTCATCCACAATAGTTTAAAGCAACTATTTCTTGATTCAAAACCATGTTGAGTCGCAGCCAACAACCAAGAAGCACATATTTACTTATTATTAAAACAGAAAATCAGATTGTTTCTTAAGAAGAAACATCCATCAAAAGTTCCTTTTATGTAATTTGTGTTGTCAGAATATACC